GTGTTTTCTAGAAGCTTTAGTTTCAGTATTTCATTCAGTCCTGTTTGTGTTAATTTTTGTGGTGGGCATGAGGTAGGGTTCCAAACTTGTTCTTTCTCATGTGGCTATCCAGATGTCCCAGCACTGTTTGTGGAAAAGACTATCTGTCCCCCACTGAGTTCTGTTTATGCCTTTGTCAAAAATCAATTGACAATCTACATAAAGGGTTTTTTTGTTCTGGACTTCTGATCCTGTTTCATTGATCTGTGTGTCTATAAGGAAGCCAATATGAGGCTGTCTTGGATACTGAATTTTGTTCATTTAGAAAATTGTTTTGTCTATACCAGGTCCTTTAAGTTATTTTTGTCATGAAGTTTTTAGTTCAGTTTTCTATTCTGGATGCAATGTTTTATCAGCTACATGATTTGCCAATATGTTCTCCTCATCTGTGGCTTTTCCTTCATTTTCATTTGTAAATATTAGGATCAGTTTTTCCAAATGTGCACAAATGCCTGCCGATTTCTACAGGGATTATATTGGATTTACAAATTGCCGTGCTACGTGAGTGAGCCGTTAGCCGTGAACAGGGATGGGCTCCGCAGTGGTTTTCTTTCATTCCTCTGGGCAGGATTTGGGGGTTTTAGCATTTAACTCTGACACTTCTTTGATTACACATATGCTTATGTATTTTATTCTATTATTAGTTAAAATTTTCTTAATTTCATTTTCAGATTGTCTATTGCTCATGTATAGAAATTCAATGGATTTGTGTGTATTGATACTGTACTCCACACCTTTGCTGGATTTTTTACTAGTTCTCACAGGAGTATGCCTGTTCATCCTGCTTAGGGCTTTCCAAAATTCCCAAATCTGTGATTTTTTTGTCTTTCACTAACTTTGGAAGAGTCTCAGCCATCATCCCTTTAAGTCGTTTTTCTTCCACGATTTCTCTTTGCCTCTGAGGATCGTAAGTGCACGTTCACTAGAGTGTGCCGAAGTGTTTAAAACGTCTCAGATGCTTGATTTACGTCTCTCTCTTCCTCTTCTTCCTCTTTGTGTTCATTTGGGATGATTTCTACTCTCCTGTCTCCCAGTTCACGGATTCTTTCCTTACTTCTGTCCAGTGTGTTCATAAGCCTATCAAAAGAATGTTGATATTGTGAGGGGTGGAGAGGCTATTTCCATTTGCCTCTTGTTGTTTTTGAGACAGGGTCACGCTCTGTTGCCCAGGCTGGAGTGCAGTGGTTCAGTCACAGCTCACTGCAGCCTCTAACTCCTGGGCTGAAGAGATTCTCCTGCCTCAGCCTCCAGAGTAGCGGGAACTATAGGTGTATGCCACCAACCCCAGCTAATGTTTCTATTTCATTGTAGACACAGGGTCTCAACATGTTTCCCAGGCAGCTCTGGGACTCCTGGTTTCAAGTGATCCTCCCACCGTGGCCTCCCAAAGTGCTGAGATTGCAGGCGCGAGCCACAATGCCCGGACTTCATTTGACTTTTTAAAAACAGTTTTTGAGCCACCACCAGGTGCACTGGCTCAACTTTTCTCTAAAATTCTCATCAAAATTTATAGGCAGGGGTAGCCATTAAATTTTGGGAGGATATCTTTATAATTTTTTTAAAAATCTTAAAAGCAAAATACAAAGGAAGAAGAATGAGTGGTGATTTCCCAGACAGCTATCAGAACAGATTATAAAGCTACGGTAATTAAAACAGCACTGCCTTGCTTTTAGACTAGATAAATAGAGGGAGGAGTGGACCGGGGCCCTGGCAGCCTCCTCGGCATAACTCAGGACCCGGTGGACCGGGCGTCCCAGCCAGCAAGCAGAGGCAAGGCCTGCTGCAGAGGACATCACAATAGAACCACACACCTGCAGCAAGGCAGTCCCGTCTCAGCTGGGACACAGAGCAAATCGAAGAGGAATCAAAATCCAAACAGAAAATAAAAGTACAAAATTCCTGGAAGGACACATGGAGAATGTAATTCTGATGCTGGGGGACCTTGAAAACATGGCGCGAGTGTCCGGGAGATTTCACTGTTTCGAAAGGAAACCCTTCTCTACTGAAAATCACAGTACAAATGACATAGTACAGATTCAGAGAAAATGTTTCTTACAAATATGACAATAAAAATATTAATATCTCTAATGTCCAAATTGATTATACAAATCAATAGCAGCTCAGTAGAAAAATGGACTAAAGGTCTGAACATTAATTTACACACTTTTATGGAACGATGTTTAGAAAAAGAAAAACTTTCAAATTCACAGAGAAGCTAAGCTTTAAGGAATAGTTTTCAGTGTCATCTATATAGTTTTTCTCAATAAACATATTAATGTAGTAAAGTACGTTGATTGCTTTTATATTTTAATTTAGTTTTTCCTAAATTGACCTAGATAGGTTTTTAATCAAAATTACCGTGAATATATATTTACCAAAATACCAAATATCAAAAATATTTTTTATTAGAGAAATTGAGTCTAAAAAGTACACAAAGGGGCAGAGGAAGTAGAATAACTAAATGAAAAAGGAAGAAAGGAGGAATCATGCCTCTCAATTTTATTTATTTATTAGATGGAGTCTTGCTCTGTCATTAGGCAGGAGTGCAATGGAGCGATCTCAGCTCACTGCAACCTCCACCTCCTGGGTTCAAGCAGTTCTCCTGCCTCAGCCTCCCAAGTAGTTGGGACTACAGGTGTGCACCACCATGCCTGGCTAATTTTTAGTATTTTTAGTAGAGACAGGTTTCGCCACGTTGGCCAGGGTGGTCTCAAACTCCTGACCTCGTGATCTGCCTGCCTCGGCCTCCCAAAGTGCTGGGATTACAGGCATGATGCACCGTATCCAGCCTGCCTCTCAATTTTAAGCGTTATTCAAAAGCGACAGTAATCAAGAGTGTCACTGTGGGGGTGGGCACAGCAGTTCACGCCTGTAATCCTGGCACTTTGGGAGCCTGAGGAGGGAAGATCTTTCGGGGCTAGAGTTCTAGACCCGCCTGGGCAACAGAGTGAGACCTCATTTCTAAAATTTAAAGAATAAATAAATTAAAATTTTAAAAATAGAAAATGAAAAAAAAAATCACCCCAGGGAAGAGACGGAGGGCAGGTAAAGAGGCATGCAGGCCCCCAAGGTCACGGTCACTTGGCCTCCCACAAGGGACCAAGATCGGTCAATGCTGGAAGAGCCGATTTTCCAACAAGCCATGCTGGAGCAAACTCAAGGGTTTAAAAACAGGCCTGGACCTACACGTTACATGAAAATTAACTCAAACTGGGGCCGCGTGTGAGCAGCAGCTCACGCCTGTAATCCCAGCACTTTGGGAGGCTGAGGCCAGCAGATGACTTGAGGTCAGGAGTTCAAAACCAGCCTGGTCAACATCATAAAACCCCGTTTCTACTAAAAATACAAAAATTAGCCACAGGTGATGGTGTGTACCTGTAATCTCAGCTACTTGGGAGGCTGAGGCAGGAGAATCACTTGAACCTGGGAGGCAGGGGTTGCAGTGAGATCGTGCCACTGCTCTCCAGCCTGCGTGACAGAAAGAAACTCCATCTCAAAAAAAAAAAAAAAAAAAAAAAAAAAAAAAGAGAGAATTAACTCAAATTGGATCAAAAACAATAACACTTTTAGAGTAGGAGAACATGCCCAGGACCTGGGGCTTGGTACAGATTTCTTAGACATAACATCAAAAACATGATTCATATATTTTTTTAAATCAACGAATTGGACCTTATTGAGATTAAAAACTTTTATGCTGTGAAAGACCCTGTTCTGATGGGTGAAAAGATGAGCTGTGGACAGGAAGAAAATAATCGCAAAACGCAGTCTGACAAAGGACTTGTACGTATCTGGAATATAAGAACTCTCAAAACTTGACGGAAAAGAGGCAGATAATCCAATGAAATGAGTAACAAACACGTGAACAGAAGAATCCTGGCGAGGACGTGGAGACGGCACAGCAAGGCGTGATACGGCCTTAATGCGCATGGCCCCCGGGCAGCGCACGCTGGGGCTGTGACCCAGAGCTCTCCATACCTATTAGAACAGCTAATGAAAATATGATGACAAGACCAAACGCCCGCAGAGATTCTGAGAAACGGCACCCCTTCACCGCGTGTGGGATGTAAAATGGTGCATCCATCCTGGAAAAGAGTTTGAGAGTTTCTTTAGAAAACAAAACTTAGTCTGACTATTTGACCCAGCAGTGGTACTCCTGGGCATCTATCCCGGAGAAAGAAAGACTTAGGTCCACACAAACACCTACACATCATTGTTCACAGGGGATCTATTTGTAATAGTCAAAAACTGGGAAGGACTAAAACATCCTTCGGTAGGTGAACTGCTGAACAAAATGTTCTTTGCTACCAAGGGATGCTACTTATCAGTACGAAGGAACAAACTATTGATACAGGAAATAGCTGAGATGGTCTCAAGGGCATGTTCCTGAGAGAAGAAGAGCCATCTGAGAGGGCCCCATGCATTCCATTTACATAGCACTTGTAAAATGACAAATTTATAGCAATGGGAAACGGGCCAGAGGATGTGAGGAGGAAGGAATGGGGACGTGGGGACTGAGTCTCTGGGATGGGGCAGCCCGGAGATAGCCATGGTGGTGGGACAGCTCTGTGTCCTGTTCCTGGCGGTGCGAACACGGATTCCCACACCCTCTGACATGGCATAAACCCAGATACACCCGCTGGAGCCAGGTCAGCTTCCTGGCTGAGACACGCACCCCAGCTAAGGGAGGTGAAGCCACTGGGAAAACGGGTGGAAGGGCATGTGGGACTCTCTGTACTAGTTTTGAGACTTCCTGTGAATCTATAATGACTTCAAAAACAAAATCTTTAAAATAAATCACGAGGCTGATAAAGAGAACATGCATTGTGTGCTGCCTTTTGTATAAGAAAAAACGGCTAGCACATCCCGTGATTTTTGCAAACAACCACCACAGGAAGGAGACAGAACTCACAGCCTCCGTGAGCGGACAGAAAGTTTGAACTTCTGGTGTAACTTAAAATTTTACATTTAAAAATTAATTCAATAAATAGACAGACATCTAGAACAAATAAGTGCAATACCAGAAAACAAACAAATCAGCATTTTCAATAAATAAATGTGGAGGAGTGGAGACCAGACAAGAGCCCCCTGGCACCGAAAATGGGCCCTGAGGTCCAGGGCTGCAGGAGCAGGGCGGGGAGCCCGGAGAGCCGGGGACAGACACGGGCACCCACTGCCTATGTCACCGCCCTCCGTGCCGCCCACAAGCCTGTGCCTCGTTGGGTCCCACCACCCCAAATCCCAGCGCCACAGCTCTGCCGCCCCCCGCCACCCCGTGTGGCACCCAGGCCCTGCTGGCGCAAGGCCACGGCTAATCTGCTCTCAGAGGAAGCTGCAGAGGCAGCCCTGCCCTCCGTGTTTCCCAAGCCCCTTATCCCAGCAGATTCCTCCCGGGGAAGATAAGCTCCCAGCTTAGCCAGGGCGGTGGGAAGTCAGGGCCGCTTCCTTAATTGGCATTTTCCAGTTGAGAGAACATTCTCTACCTTTTTCACTTGGATCAGCTAATTGCCAAATGTTTTCATTTTTGAGAAGAAGTAAAATTGCAGAGATTTGGGATTTAGGGAAGGAATGCAAGGATCAATTTTGCCCAATTACGAAATGTCTCGGCGGTCACTGTGACGGGTCCCAGAGTCGGCCATGTGGACCCCGGGGCCTCCCGGGCGGTGGGGGGCCGGGGGCTCAGATGCAGATGTTTACCTGATGTCGTGGGCCCGAATCTGGTTTACATTGGAAATCAGACTGTTTACAGGACAGCCCATCTGCCTCTTCCTCTGGCTCTCCTTCACTTTGCTGTAATGTTCTGCAGGTCTCGCTGGGGTCTCTGTGGGAATATCTGTGACATGGAGGGAGCCAGGCCAACCCCAGACGGCCCCATCTGAGGACACCAGCTCACGGCCTGGCCCCCGGGTGGGCAGCCTGGGCCCGGGGTGGCCGTGGAGATGGGGAGGGTCCGGGGCCCCTGGGATGGGGGTGGGAGCACACGGGCAGTCAGCTCAGCTGCAGGGCTCCAGCGGAGGACAGGGAGACTTCTCCGTCCCTGAAAGCCATCGAGGACACAGTGGTCCTATCAGGATGTTGGAACCCTCCAGTGTGTTCTGGAAGCAGAGGCTGGGCGTGGGCACCTGTGACTGTCCCCACACTGAGAGGCCCACAGGTCCCCAAGTAGCCAGATGCTGGTGGCAAGGCAGGGCCCAGTCATGTGCCAGGGAAGAAGGGGAGGCGTGGGGGCCACAGGCAGGGCGTCCAGGAGGGCAGAGCCACATCAGGGACGGCTGCTCCCAGCACAGGGGGCTTCACCCCAGCAACCCTCTGCATTGCCCCTCTGACAGCCGCCGCCTTCCACCCCCCAGAACCTTGAGCTGCTGTGTCGGCTCTGGAGGCTGCGGCCCCAGCCACGGGGACTGCTGCTGTGGTGGGCTGAGACCCTGCTGTTCTCCGTGGAGACGCTGACGTCCTCCCCAGACCTCCGGGGCCCACCCTCAGCCTCCAGGCGCTGACCAGGCTGCCCAGGCTGACAAAGCTCGGGGCGTCCTCCTTTAGGACACTGAACGGGCGTCCATGGCCGCCAACATCCTCCCTGGGCTGGCCTCCCCTCGGCCCTGTTCCCTTGCTGCCATGGCCACCTCCATCCTCCCTGCAGATGCAGAGAACGGTCCCATCCTCAGCTGCCTGGCCTTGTGCGTCCTTGGGAGGTTCTGACCTGGGGGCTGGGTCCTCCCTGGTCTGGGCCTTCCTGCCCTGGCCTCCCTCTGGGCTCAGGGAGCTGGGGCCACAAAGGCCGGAGAGCCTGGTCTGCCCAGGACAGGCCGCCCTCCTCCTGCTCCCAGGAGTGCCCGCAGCCCTGCCAGTTTCCTCGGGTGTCTCCTGCAAGCAGTTTCGCCCAGTCCCAGCCTCCCCCTCTGCCCTCTGGCAGCCACACTCCCTGCCTTTCCTCCCCATCCGCTCAGCCCTGCAAAGCCTCCCGCCAAGCCTGACACCTGAGGCTCTGTCACCCACTCTCCGGAGGCTCCTCCACATGTCAGTGACCTCTGACCTCTGTTTCAAACCCAGAGCTCCTGGGCGCACCCAGCATGGCATCCAGATGGTACCAGAGTGTTCCAGGCCTGGGACACCACACTCACTGCAGAGCTGGCCTGAGACTCAGCTGCCGGACGCCCCATGAGATCTGGTTTCTGAACCTCATCGTCACCTGCCCGGGTATCCAGGCCACAGGCCCCGTCGTCATATGGGCAAACACCCCTGTCACAGCCCCCAAATCCCACCTAAGAGCGGCACATCAAGCAGACCGTACATTAGACGCCTCTAAGCGTCGGCCATGATGCCCTCTCATCCCGGCCCTCACGTCTTCTCCCTGGACACCTGCTGCTCCCTCTAGCTGTGCCCTCCACGGTGACTCCAGACACCCACGTTCAGCCTCCTCCCTCCAGGACCGAACTCCTCAGCAGCTCCCACGGCTCCCAGCATGCCATCCAGCTCCTCAGCCCAGCAGCAAAGACACAGTATGGCTCCCCAGCCCATCGCTCTCCTCCAGAGAAAGAGGCCTCCGTCCTCCACGCACCATCCGCTGTCCCCTCCCCAGCCCCTGTGAGCAACCCCAGCCAGAGACACCAACGGCCACCACTGACTTTCACCCTGTCCCAAATCACAGGACCAAGGAGGTTGCCCTGAAAGGGTCACTTCCAGGCTCACTCCCAGCTAGCCAAGGACACATGCCTGCCATGGGTAGCATTGGAGGACTGGGGGCACGCTGTCAGTCAGCCTAGCAGGCTGGTCTTCATTCCTCCCTTCCTTCCTTCCTTCCTTCCTTCCTTCCTTCCTTCCTTCCTTCCTTCCTTCCTTCCTTCCTTCCTTCCTTCCTTCCATGTCTTCCTTCCCTCCTCCCTGTGGTAGAATATGGTGAATAGGTTTCCCATCTGAGCCATGCTGAGGGCACAGCCCGTGGCACTGGAACATTCTCATTGCTGTGCCTCTGCCCCCGCCATGAGCCTCCTGCACCTTTCGTCAGGCAAACCTGGAGCTCTGTCCCGACCCCTCACTCACTCCCATGTGCCCTGCCCACCGCCCTGCTGACCACATTCTGCCGCCTTTCTCTCCAATCTGACTCCTCTAGGGGCCTCCATCTGTGGCGTCGTCACGGCATTTGTTCTGTGTGACTGTGGCTTCACCCACGTGTGCTTGTGAGGGCTGCTGGCGCTGGGGCACGCGTCAGAGCTGCACCCCACTCCAGGCTCGGTGAGACCCCGCTGTGTGTGTCTGCCCCGCTGCACACCCCCACGGCTGGGCCCTCTCCACTTTGGGCTATTGTGACTGCCCTGCTATGAGCATCGGTGTTGGAGTCCACTTTGTGTGTCCATAAAAGACCCCCTGAGACCGAGCGATTCATAAAGCTCACGGCTCCACAGGCTGAGAAGTTCAATGGCACGGCCCTGGCTTCTGCTGGAGGAGGTCAGAGGGGAAGCAGACGCGGGAACGGAGGCAAAGCTCGGGGATGTCTTGGCTTCGGAACAAGCCCCACTCATGGGAACAAACCCATTCCCATGGGAACTCGTCCCTATCACAGGGGGAGACTCACTGCCAGCACCAGGCACTCAGGAGAGAGTCACTCCCACCACCCACACGCCTCCCTCCCCCCAGGCCCCATCCCCCAGCACCACCACACTGGGGGCCACGTTTCAACAAGACTTTTGGTGGGAACAGACGCACTACATCCAGACCATAGCCACGGTGTGCAAACATTTGAGTCCCTGCTTTGATTTCTTTTGGGGATAGACCTAGGAGTGGAACGGTGGTATTTTGTGTTCACCCGTTTCTGGAAGGAGCACACTGAGCTGGTTAGAGCAGCCTTGTGTTTTCGTCTGTGTTTCTTCCTGCCTTCCAGAATGCAGATGAGAGGGCAGGTGCCCCAGCAGCCCTCATCAACCAGAAGGCATGATTCCTCATCTTAGGCTCAGGGAGCACAGAGACTGAGGGCCGTGGACTCCCGGTGACATGGGGGCACCTCCATCGTAGCCTCACACTCTGTGTGCGGCCCTTCCAGAAAGGGGACAGAAACGAAAAGTCTACCTTGTGGAAGACATTGGTGTTCAGGGTTTTCTGCTCTGTATGTTCTCCCTGAAAATAACCCATGTCCATTGTGCAGAAATGAGCCACGGCCCGCAGGGGACTGGAGCCGCAGCGCCACCTGCTCTGCATTGGTTTCCCACTGCCCTGTGCTCCCACGTGGGCAGCGACGCCCTCCCTTACAGCACATTCCTGGTGCAGCAAGGGCGGCTGACCCGCGGATTCCTCAGGACGAGAGACGCTTCGAGTCAAGGGTTTTCATGGCCGTGAACCGCGTGGAGGCTGTGCCTTTTGCTGCCTCTGAGGAATCTTCCTCCCGCGCCACCCTCAGCCCCCCCTCTGCCAGCGCCTCTGTGTCTAAACTTCCCTCGTGGGCTGTGGCTGGAGGCACAGGAGCAGTTTATGGCTGTCGGGGCACTTTGCTGGGCTGCTTCCGGACAAGTTGACCCCTTCCTCCCTCCAACCGGCACTGCCCAGCATTCCTGTCCAGCAAAGCCTGACTGTGAGGCCGTTTCTGTGGCACTGCCGCCGTGCCAGGGGAAGGGCCCTGTCTTCGATTTCCCTTGCCTGTCTTTTAATTGGACCGTTGACCGTTGTTCACACCTGTGCTCCTCAGTGTATTTTGCCGTATTCTGTGAGGCTTAGTGTCTTCTCAGTTAGAAAGTTTTCTGGTATTGCTGAGCGCCTGTTCTGTCATCATGTTTAACAGGTGTTTTCCCAGCTTGGCTCTGTGTGGTCATTAACGTGCTTCCTGCTATATTAAAAGTTTGTTTTTCTTTCATTACAAAAGGTCTCAAGCTGAGTGTCCCCCATGCTCCCTGTGCTTTGGGGTGTGAAGTCGCAGGGGAAGGCAGGTGTCCTTTCTTCTCTGAAGTGTGGGTGGGGGAGGACAGCAGACCCTGGGGTCCCTGCTGAGGAGGGAAAGCGTGGGAATCTCAATGTTCTCTTCCTGGCCGCTCGAGTCCCCCAGCTCCTTCTTGGAGGAGGAAACCTTCTCGATGTCCTGGAGAGCGAGTTTGCCCGTGAAGCCCATCCTGCCCGGCTCACAGAGAGCGGCCTGGGAAGTCCCCCGGCTGAGCAGCACGTGCCGGGCTGAGTGCCCACAACTGTTGGGAAAACCGAGGCATGTGCCTCCTCTTTAGGGGAAGGTTTTAAGAATGAAAATCAAACCGTGGAATGGTGAGGTCAGTTGGAGTCTGGATTCTGTGGGGTGAGACAGCCACAGCCAGGTGGGACTCCCCACTCCTTCCCTGTCACCTGCCCCCCGTTGCTGGCCATGTCATGGAGCAGGGGTTAACCTTGTACCCCCAGCCTTGTGCCCACCCCTGCCACCTGCAGGCCTGCGAGGTCCCACAACCCCTTGGCAGGCAGGGCCGGCCTGGGGCCAGGTGTGGGCGAGACTGGGGATTTCCTGGGGCAGCTGCCTTCATGTTTCGGCCTGGCAGCCTCGGGTGGTATGGGGAGAGGCGGGGAGCCACGGGCCCAGCACCCTGTCCATCCCGGCTGTGGGTGCCAAAGCTGAGTGGGTTCTGTGGCTGGTCACCCAGGCAGCCCAGTGGGTGCAGGCCACCCGGGGTGCTGGCCCTGCCCTGCCTGGTCCCTGGAGAGGGGAAGGGTCTCTGCTGACCACACAGTTGCCATGTGCTTCTTGTTTGCCGAGGGCTGCAATGTTTGTTGCCGGCCGCAGTGTTTACTGTGGGGGGAATAATTGCTGGCTGTGGGGTGTCACCTGGGCCCACCGTGACGAGGTCCCCCCACCCCTGCGGTGGGACTCGGGGCCAAAGGACTGTGCTGTTCCTGCTCTCTGCGGGGGAAACAGCAGCTCCCTCAGCTTCCAGGGGCAGCCAGAGGCCCGAGCAGTGGGGAGGGTTTGTTGGTGCCCATGAAGGGACAGCAATAGGCTGACATGTCAGTTTCCAAGCAGGCTAGGGTCTCCCTCCTGACACGTCCTCGTGGTCCCCCAACCCCTGAAGGCACCGTTCTGTCCTCATTGTCGCTCTGGGCCCGCGGCCACACGCACAGCTCGCCCAGTCCATCCCTTCCTCCTCTCAGCTGCTGCCCCTCCCCTCCCGGCTGTCCCCCGCATGGGCTTTGCAGCCTCTCCTTGTCCACCAGCTCTGAGGCTCCCAGAAGCCTTCTCTCTTCTCTTCCTGGCCTCCTCCCCTCTCTCCCGTCTCCTCGGCCTCCCCTCCCTTGGCCCTCTCCTCACCTCCACTCTCCCACCATCTCCCACTTTCTGTACACAGTATCTGTGGACCAGAAATCTGTGGCCCGGAGCCCCTCACTGTGCCCCAATGGCATGGCCTCATCACGGGCCGTGTCCTGGACACCTCCTGGCGTGTCACAGGCGTCTGATCTTGGCATTCGTCTGATGCAACTTCGGATTCCACCCGCGGCCTTTCCCCTGGTGAGAAGCCGAGCGTCATATTAAGGACCGGCTTTCCTCAGCCGCGCCCCCGTGCGTGACGGGCCCTGTTTCTTTCTCGCGGAGACGTGCCTCTCAGTCAGGGCTGACTCCCCCACCCCAGTGTTTGCCACCATGGCTGTGGCCTGTACTCAGCTGTGTTTCTGCAGCCCGGCCGGCCACGTGCATTCTTTCCTGCCCAAGACAACCCTCATCCCACAGCAGAGACAGTGGTCACCAAGAACGCGGCCCGCCTCCCACCATCCCCTGCGTGGGCACCTCAGTGGCCCCCTGCCCGCTCCGAATAACAGCCAAGAGACCCTGCTGAGCCTGGGATTGGTTGGTAGAGTATGGGCTCCCCGTGGGACATCGAGAATACACACCGGGGCGGGGGACAGCCGCCTTGGTGTCGCGACTGCCCAGGCAGAACTACGGTGCTCCTCCATTCTCTCAACATTTCTCACAAATAAAGTGAGTTAATTCCATCTGGGGGTTGACGGCCTGTGGATCTGGACCGCCTTTGTCTCAGTGCTTCTATTGCACGCTTAGCCACCGTGCCACGGGAACGTTAAATGTGGCCACTAGGTTTCGTGGGTTTTTCTGTCGGGCTGCCAGTCCTCCATGAACAGCGTCCTCATCCGATGGGAAGAGGCTGTGGAAGCCACTCAGGCAGGTGCCATCCGCAGACAACACGGCCTTCCTCCCTGACCGCACTGGCCAGGAGCGCGTCAAGGACCACACGCCACCTCTCCGTTTTGCGAAGCGTCCATCGCTTCTTTCTTTTCTATTTCTTT